CAATTGTCTTTTTTTTTTTTTCACCTATATTTTTAATTTCATTCACCATAAAAAGTTAAAAAATTGAAATGTTATTTCTCCACTCACTATTTTTTTATATGGTTATGTCTGAAACTGGACACGGGTACTATATATGAAACTAAACATGGATACTACACTATTTCTTAAATAGACTATTTCTGAAATTGAACACGGACGCTAAACTATTTCTTAAACTGAATACTGACTATTTTTTAATACTATATACGGGTACTATCACTATTTGTTAAACTGAACACTGACTATTTCTTAAATTGACCATATATGAAACTAACACAGGTACTACACTATTTATTAAATTCACTATTTATGAAATTGACACGAGTACTACACTATTTATTAAACTGACTGACTGACTATTTATGAAACTGATACAGGTACTACACTATTTATTAAACTGACTGACTATTTATAAAACTGACACATGTACTACACTATTTATTAAACTCATTATTTATGAAACTGACGCGGGTCCTACACTATTTATTAAACTAACTGACTATTTATGAAACTGACACGAGTACTACACTATTTATTAAACTGAATGACTATATATGAAACTGACACAAGTACTACACTATTATTAAATTGATTTACTATTTATGAAACTTAATACTGACTATTTCTTAAACTAACTAGTTATGAAACTAACACGGGTACTACGCTATTTATTAAACTCACTATTTATAAAACTGACACGGGGGGTACACTATTTATTAAATTGACTTACTATTTATGAAACTGATACAGGTACTACACTATTTATTAAACTGACTAACTATTTATGAAACTGACATATGTACTACACTATTTATTAAACTCACTATTTATGAAATTGACACGGGTACTACACTATTTATTAAATTGACTGACTATTTATGAAACTAACACGGGTACTACATTATTTATTAAACTGACTGGCTATTTATGAAACTGACACAGGTACTACACTATTATTAAATTGACTAACTATTTATGAAACTGAATACTAACTATTTTTATAAATTGATGTTCATGCATGTTTGTGTGCCCTTCTAATTAATAGAGGATAATGCTAAAGAAAATCAAACTTTAAACTAAATTTGCAAACGAAATGATAAGCACATTAATTAATGCTTAATTAATAATTCAATAATCAACATCTACATCATTTGATTTACAAAATTTGGTAAAAATTTGGTCTCTATGGTATTAACAAATAGAAAACAAGTGTGTTAATAATTGATTGGCACACATATAATTAAGCATGCATGGTAAGGAAGGAAGAAGGTCGACTCAAGGCTCGAAGTACCAATCAGTGACAACCAACAGTACTTAAATCGAAGATAAATATTAGTTGTCGCCTCCAAATTCAACTTCAACTTCAACTTCAAATTCAAGAAGTACATTAAAGAAGCTTAGTTAAAAGAATTTAGTTTTTTATTTTTCTTATTTTGCTTATATTTTATTGTTATTCAAAAGAAGATTGAGGGAGAGGGATGTGGAACAAGGCACACAGAGATGGTGTCAGTCTCACAGACACGCATCAGCCATGCATGGCACTTGCTAGTGCAGAGTTTAATAATTTATTAACTTTTCGATGAACAAATAAAAAGCCCAAATCCCATCTCTCTCTACTGTACTTAATTGACTTTTACATCAATTGGGTTCTTGTTACTTGCATTTTTTTTTTTGAAGTGCCAAATAGAGAAACTGTCATCGGTTAGAAGAAAGCCAATACCACAATATCAATGCCTGGACCTTTCAAATCACAACACGACAGTCAATCACATTTTAAGAATAACATTGACAAGATTACTAATCCTCTTCTTTAAGGAAGGAAGTCTACGAGGATCACATAAAGCTTGGGGAGAACTTCCATTGAAAGCCCAAGGCGAACTTCCATTGCATGATGTGTCCACAGGCCGGAAGGTTTCAAATTCCCAGGGGGTCATTTAGGTAATCCTCAAAGCCAAAATCATCCAATCTTCTAGTCATAGCTTCCAAACCCAGCATTGAAGAAGGAATTGGTTCGGCAGGCCTCTAGAATCGAGAAGGGAATCCATCTTTAGTGGAAACGCACTTCCATAAGTGTACCCCAAGATTTTCGTATTTATCTGCTCTTGAGTTAACTTTGCCGATTCCAAAGCAGATTTGAGAGGGTGAGCGCCGACGAGGTCTCTCTTGACACTGTGAAGTCTGAACCAAAGGGCGTTGTTTTGGATTCCTACGATTTGGTGCTTCGTCATCTTCGGTGCCTCCCTTTTGCTTTCTCTGTTTCTTCCTTTCCTCCTTCATGTGTCTTTCATCTCGATTTGAATACCAAACACATTAATTTTTGTCTGGTGGATTAATGAGGTAGTGGCATACTTGTAAATAAAATGAAGTTTATTTGTAACAGAATTAGATGATAGACTAGGTTCCGTTAGGGGCAAGGCCTTATTTCGTTTTGGGCTTTTGATTCAGCCCATGTATGTTCAATGTTTGTGAGGCTTGGTATAGATTAGTCTTGTCCTTATGATTAAATATGAAGCCCTTTTGGTTAAAGAAAAGTACATGGTAGTTTTTAGTTAAATTAAACTTAGTCCAAACCATTTTCATTAAAACTCCCTTAATTTTATCATATTACACAATTAGATATTGAAATTATACAAAGTTGTGCATTCGATGTGATTGAATATATGATCATTCATTAAAGTGTATCCTTTTGTGTTCTAACGTGTAAGTAATATTTGAACTATATTGAAGAAAAAAAAATATTACTCATCAATTTAATGGAGGATTAGACATTCAAAGAGACAAAAAAAAAATTAATTTATGCAATTTCAAAACCCCAAGGTGCAATGTGATAAAATTGGAACTTCATGACTCATTTGAAAACCACATTAAACCTAGAGGTTGTAAAATGTTGTTAACAGTTAAGATTACTTCCCGGAAGACATTCATACCAAGTCATTGTCCAAATCTCGATTTCTATGAGAAATGCTAATTAGGAGACTTTCTCAAAAGTGTGACTCTCCATGAACTCTCTATTATCTCATAGTTTAACATTAATTCTCATGTCAACATTATTAAACATTGTACAAAAGACAGGAGGTGGTAGAGAGTTCATGAAAAGTCTCATTTTGAGAGTCTCCTTAACATTCTCCAATTTTTATTTCTCCGATTTACATTATGGATAATATGATTTTATTAGTTTGTTAATAGGTTGACTTTGTACTACGGTCTAATGGTATTCCTCTTCACTTGTAAGTAAGATGTCTTATATTCGATTCTCATCAAAGATGAAGTTGAACCACATTATTCTACCAGGCCCATTATGAGGCTCAGCCCTCTCTCACACTCCCTTAGTGTAGATACTATCGTGTTAAAAGAAAAATAATAATAATAATAAAGGTTGACTTTTTCGATTACAATTAATAGGTTGACTTTGGTAACCAAATTTCCTATAAATACATTGTTAAGGTTAATATATTTTTATTTTTTTCCAAAAGAAATTTGGGGCCTCTCCTAGAGGTGTCAAGGATTGGGAGGAGTTGTATTGGATTGTTGAAGGAATGCTGTTTTGTTCTCTTGTATTAATAATTGCTCCATCATGCTCCAGAGACCAACTTTCGACTTTATGTTCTTACGAGGTGGAAATTAGATAGCCTCATGCTCACAACTCAATGATACAACTAATGGGTTCTATGTGAACAACCTAATTGAGTCTAAAAGTTTTGGTCTTGTCTACGGGTTTCTCTTCGGTAGTCAAACTTATCAAGTAGTTCAACTTTTTTATAAAAAAAATTTACCGTACGATCATTTAGAGTCAATCTTTTATCGTTCATTTTTCGAGTATTGAAGAATATTTGTTTACAAAGGAGTACTCCCCAGTGATGAAACTTAGGTTTTTTAAGGTCTGCACAGCCTACTAAATCTTAGCTCAAATGCTTAATTTTTCGAGCATGTTCATGTTATGTTATCAAATTGTTTTATGATTTTGCCAAAGTATAATATAGCACTAGAATCCAATCATCATCCGAAGAAAGCAACTTCTTAAAATGATGACACTGTATTGAGAAAATTTTTCATGCACCTGAAACACAAGCCAGTGTCCTTTCACTTGTGTTATAACACGTACCGGCCTAAGTTCTATATATACTAAAAAAATGAATAATACTTGGTTACTTAAGAATGAGTAGAAACTCATACTTAAAATTCTCTACGTTTCAATCATAGAGCTTTGTGCTTATGATCAAAACCGTTCATATTATAAATTACTATGTAAATATCATCTCTGCAACAAAAATGAATTAAAACTAAGATCGTTTAGTCCATTTATTATAGCACAATAGTCATAGGATAGTTCATAGTGCTTTTGCTAATTTCATTCATCTGTTTTTATATAGTTCCATAACTAAACGACCTTTATTTTAATTAATATTATGCAGAACCAATCTTTAAAGAGTAATTTATAATATAACCGGTTCTAGCCATAAACACAAAATTTTATGAATCGATGACGAACAATTTTTAATTATTCGATCTTTGCATGGCCAAGTATTATTCTTCAGAATTTTTGCATTACAATCCATCCAAATTTGTTGAATTTGTTACACTTCTCTTTTAAGGATTTGGATCTGGATCCAAATTGTGAAGATCCTAGAGATCCTTACATCTTAACTATTCATCGTATATCGTGTGGTCATAAATTATTTGACTTTGTTATTTAAAATCAAACATAAATAATACCCGACAAAACTAATCACGTAATATACGATGAACGATTAAGATGCAAGAATCCCTAAGATTCCCGCAATGAGGATCCTCATCCCTCTTTTAATACCATTATTCTGAAAAGCCACCTCACAAGTTGGCTAACATCTCCCACGTGACATTATCAAAATTGGAAGGGCCAGAAATAATGGCGAATCAACGAACTGTATCCAGTTCTATTCCAACCACTAGTTTTCAAAAGTAGACAAATTCTAACTTTCACCTTTTAAAGAACAATTAATTAATTAAGTAAATATTCAATTGGAACATATCTCTCCTTTCCTCAACCATGAAGATTCGTAGCCTCACAAAAGTTACAGAACAAAACAACGAAATAAAACGTAAAATAAATAAATAAAATAATCAATCCGCGTGGCTCATTCTGGGCAAGATATGGATCGCCACCGCCTCTAGTCCCGGAGGCGTTTCCACAGCCCAAAGCCTCGGCGTCGCCGCTGACACGTCAACCACAAATATCCCACCACCACAAACAACGCAAACTCTTCCGCCTCCGGCAGCGATCTGATCAGCTCCTCTCAACCCCTCGGACTCGAAAACGTCTTCCCACACATCCTTGTTGGGATCGTATCTTCTCAAGGCACCCTTGGCCTCGTCCACCACGTACATCACGTCCTCATCCATGGCTGCCACCGGTCCTCTCCACCCTGCAATCATCCCTTCCGGCATGTCTTGCCACGTGTCCTTCTCCACATCGTAGACAGCTCCCTCTTTTGCAGTGTCTCCCTTAACATTGACCATGCAGAGCATTCCTCTCCATCCCACTGCGTCGATCGCATCTCTGCTGAATCTCCCATCTCGAAGCCCGCTCACTTTTTCCCAACCATCCGAATTAACTTGATACTTTTTCCATTTGCTTAAGTCCCACTTCTCAACTGAACGCGCAACATCGATCGAGAAGTGGGACCCGATCCCACTCGCCACATAGACAACGCCGCTCAGCGCTCCGACTGCACACCAGCGGCGTGGGGTGGTGAGTGGAGGACCGAAGGCCCAGTCTCTGGCAGCTGGGTCGAAGACCAGAGGGCGAGAGAGAGCGGGGAAAAAGTTGTGGGTAGTGGCGGCGAGGAGGATTAGGTTTCCGGACTCGGAGACGGATTGGATGGGTAGGTTGCGGGAGATGAAAGAGGGGTGGCTTCGGAAGAGGCGGAGAGGCGGGTCGGGAGGGGTTGAGGGGAGGGGATGCCAGTTGGAGGAGATCGGGTCAAAGTTGTAGAAATGAATGGAATTAGAGGAAGAGGAGGCGGAGGTGGAGGAGGAGGAGGAGAAGAGGGCGTATAGAGAGAGAAAAGGAGGGAAGGAGGAGGAGTAGATAAGGCGGCGCCATGAGGTGCAAACGGAGAACAAAACGGAAGGGTGGACGAGGGAGAGGCATACTTGAGCTATATGGTCCGGCAGACCAGGCAGGAGGGGCTGATGTTGGTCGTCTTTTCGGCTCGGTTTTGTGCGTTTTGAGGGAGATCTGGAAGTCTCTGCCTCCGCCATTGCCATTTTTGTACCAAAAGGAAAGAAAGTTATCCTTTTTTTTTGCCTTTTCCAAATTACAACTTCGTTCTAGTTTGTTTGCGTGAAGGATGCAAACAGAAAGAAAAGGCTTGTCAAACTTGACTGACCTAATTGTGGTCGGCAGTCACTCACAAGAGGAAGTGGGGAGTCATAATAGTGTCAGTACCCGATATGATAATAAAAGACAAAAGCGGATGAGAGTATGACAATACGCTACTTTTTGTGTGTGTTTACTTGGTCCACCCAAAAGCCAAAATAGCAAAACCCTAAAACGCCTAATTATTTGGATACCAGAGATCAAATTTCTAAACCAAATGATATACCATTTTATCTTAATAGGTCAAACTAGTAACTACATTTCCCAAAATTTAACAAGACACAATTACACAATACAAAATAACACGAAAAAATTAAGTGTTTAATTTGAAACTTAACAAGTGAACTCGTTAGTAGTCTATTAATTAACGGGTATACTCGAATCACCCAATATGTATTTGTTTCAACACTTTAAGAGTCAGATTAATTTAGCAATTTTATTTGAGAAAGACTTGACCCTCAAGAAATGAGAAAGAAGTTCTTCTCAAGATACTATGATATCTATGATTCGAACGGTTCATATTATAAAATGTAGATAACATTTTACCCTATCAAGTTTGTGTTCAGTCGCAACCTTATACAATATTTTTATAACATTTCAATCTCATATATTTAGTTACTATTTCATTTCAATTTCATACAACCATTAAAAAATCTGTTAAGTCAGTCGTTAAGTGGTGACGTAACAAGGGTGAAACCTACAATTTGCTGATTTAGAGTTCAAATTTGTGTCATGTGGTAAAAAAAAATTAAAAATGCCCCAATTTGCAGTTTATGCAAATAGAATGAAGTACAAAAACAAAAACAAAAAATAAAAAAACAAAAAAAATTCAGCTTTTTTATTGTGACGGGTTCAATGACGTTGTTTCTATGGATAGCTCCTCATCTTAGACACGCATTGATTAGACGTCTCTACAACCCAAACAGCATCCATAGCACCATAATTTCCGATTAAATAACTTATACATCTGGAATCAAGAACACTCCGATCGATATTTTCAATTTCAATTTAATGATCACAAATTTTTGGACGAAATCACCGATATGGGTGGAAGATATACCTTCATCCCCTATTTATGTCAGACGTAAAAATTCTGACCATACATGCGAGTTGCGACCATCTCAAAGAGAGGGCAGCTCTCGCATCCATTTTCTATAGACTTATCGTAGGTTTTGACGCTCCGGCAATGGAGGCAAGCCCTAACCTCGTGGACGAAACTCATCGAAATCTAGCCAATCCCGACTGTGCGTTTATCATCTTCTTCACTGCACTTTAACACTTATGATTCTTTGTTTTAATTATGGCGTATCAAAACGTGGATCCCCGAATGTATAGTGTCCAATTGCAATACAACATCCTACTCTTGTCACATATGAGAGTGGAGATACAGCCTCAATATCGTTTTATTAACAAAAAGTGGAATTAAAAGGGAGAGCGCAACATCCATCCATCCCATTCTTCTCCCAAAATACCCGAATACAAGTGGATTGCCTTTGTGAGTGAAGTACTATCTTCAATTATCAACCAATTGCATTCCGGTTGAAATCAACCGCTTCCTTTAGTGTTGCTTATAATCATAACAAAGCTTTTGTGACTAAAACTTTAGAAACAAAAGTTTAACAAGATGGCCAAGGAATGTGTTTTTGTAGGCTACAGCTTAATACTCGTCTTTATGGTCGTCTTCCTGCTATTATGTCTCTTTGTACATTTGGGCGTGTCTGGTATCCATATCTAGAGGCTTATACCGCTAACAAATTGGCATCCCGTTCCAAAGAACGTGTTTTTGTAAGCTACAGCTTGCAGTACCAAGGCTACAGGCCTCGGCCCCACGGTCTCCTCTTCTGGTCAACCCTCTGAGCCCATTTTGCAGCAAACAACATTGGAGCATGTTGTTGCTGCTCCTCCCGTCCCTAGCCACCATGGTGACCAGATCACAAACTGGGCACTCTCGGCCCAAAATTCGAACCGATAGAACAGTACGCTACCCTTTACCTCATGCTCTTACTGTTGCTCTCATTGCTCCTATAAAGCCTACTTGTCATACGCTGCCTGTTCGTATTCCTGTGGCGTGTTGCAATGACGGAGGAATTCAATACCTTACTTAAAAATCAGACCTGGACACTTGTGTCACCTTCTCCTCATCAAAATGTTGTTGGTTGTAAATGGGTCTTCGAGATCAAACGCCTTGCCGATGATTCCATTGAACGGTACAAAACCCATCTAGTGGTCAAGGGATTTCATCAGCAGCAGTGGGTTCGATTATGATGAGACCTTTAGAAACCTGCTACAATCCGTATAGTTCTAGCCTGGCTGTCACTCGTGGTTGGTCCCTTCATCAGTTGGATGTCAAAAATGCCTTTTTGCAAGGCTTTCTGCTTGAGGATGTCTATATGGTGCAGCCACCCGGTTTTGTTAATCCAAAAATGCCACCCCATGTCTGCAAACTTCACAAAGCTATTTACGGTCTCATGCAGATGGCTGGTTTCAACAATTCAATTCCTTTGTTATTCGTCAAGGGTTTGTTCATAGTCAAGCTGATCCTTCCTTGTTCATTTTTCATCGGTCTGCTTGTACCTTGCTGTTATTGCTTTATGTTGATGATATAGTTTTGACTGGTGATAATAAGGATCCTCTTACTCGGTTCATTGCTCTGTTGGCCAAGGAATTTGATATAAAGGATCTTGGGCCGCTCCACCACTATTTTCTTGGCCTTGAGGTGCTCCCACATGCTCCTTATGGCCTTCATTTATCTAAGACCAAATATCTAGTTGATATTCCCAAGTGGACTAACATCGTTGATTGCAATCCGTGCTCCACACGCATTGCTAGCTGTGCCCAGCTTTCCAATGAGGGTGACTCCCTGCTCACTGACCCCATAGAGTTTCCTCAATTGGTTGGTTGACTTGGTTCCCATCATTATCTCACTTCGACACGCCCTGACATTGATTTTGCGGTTAATCATGTTGCTCAGTTCATGGCTAATCATTGTGCATTACATCTCATTACTGCTAAGCGTATTCATCGTATATTAAGGGCATTCTTGAACTTGGGATTCAGTTTCGGTCTGACCCTCCACTGTTACGAGGGTTCTTTGATGATGATTGGGCTAGATGTCTTGATACGCATCATTCTACATCTGGGTACTTAATTTTTCATGGTCCAAATCTTATAACTTGAAGCTCGTCGAAACAACCGACACTTTCGCGTTCGAGTGCGGAATCAGAATACATGGCTCTTGCTCATGCTTGTGCGGAATCGATTGGGTTGTCTTATGTTCTTCGTGAACTTCATAGTCAGGCTCCTGGACCTATTCTTCTCTTTTGTGATAACTTAAGCACTACTTCCATGGCTACCAATCCGATTTTTCATGCTCGCACTAAACATATTGAGTTAGATTATCATTATGTTCGTGAGCGTCTTCAGTTAGGCACTCACAAGGTCCAATTTATATCGTCTGTGGATCAACCCGCTGATGTCCTTACCAAAGGTCTCTCTAAGGCTCGCTTCTATCTTCTCAGTTCCGAACCTGTCTTTCGGAGACCGCCAAGTTTGAGGGGGATGTTTCCCTTTAGGAATTATTTTTCCATCCCTATTTCCATCTACATATTAAGCACTCAAATGAGCTCCTTATCCAGAGAGTGTCTAGGTCGTGGGCAACAAAGTCAGTTAGAACTGATCGTATCATGATTCTTCATCACTACGTTTTACTTCCATCTACATAGTATACTCTCAACAAGGATAAGGTGCTTTTTGCTCTTTAGCCTTTTTAAGGTTCTAGTTTCAGTTTCTTCTTCTTCTTCTTTAATTTGAAATAGCAACATAGAAATATGAATACATTTCTTTGACAGACAGGAACAAGCTCCCACTAAGAAGCTGAAATTTTTTGTAAGTATCTTGAATGGAAGAGTAACGTTAACAAAACTAACCAGTTCCATTGAATTTGGCTTCTGGGCACTTATCATGCTGATTTGTTGAGTAGACAGAACACGCAGAATGCTGAAATATTCCTCCATGATCTGACAAGAGCTCCTTCCTCAGCTCGTCAAGCTTCAACTCCAAAATAGAGGAAGTTCGACTGTTTTTCACTGATTTTATACCAGCTACTTTCCTTCATCCGCTAGTCATTTCAAGCTTGGAGTATAATGTTGTGAAATTGATGCTACGTGTATGCATTGAAATATAAAATAAATAAACTACAATATTTAGGATATTCTATAAATGTGCCCACATCCTAGTTGTTTCTCATATGATCTGAATGAGGTATTCAACAATTTATTCCTGAACTTGTACGGATTGACCAATTTGCTCCTTAATTTTAATTTTAACTAATTTCTCTCCTCAACTCTCATGATTAATCAATTTACATCCTACTGTTAATTTTTTTTATTTTTCATCTTTTCCGTTAAGTAGGTATCTTAAGGGCCAAAAATATCATTTTTCCTACTTCTTCTATCTTCTTCATTTTCTTTGAACTTTCTCTTCTTCCCTCTTTTCTCCAAGCCGAGCCCGTGCTGGTTCCACCGGCACGATTTTCCCGGCGAACACCAAAAGAAACACCAACATCTACTTGACATCAAAAGCTCTGATATTTGGGTTGAACCCCATCAAGGAAATGCAGTGAGCGTGGCCTCAAAAACGAAACCCCGGGAAAGCCCATCGCCACTTCTGCGAGGTCTTAAGTTTCGAAATCGTGCGATGGAACAGCTTTCATTGACTCCGCCATGGCGAACCCACATCGCACGGGGCGTAAACCGAGTCGAACACCAAAATTGTGCTTCTGGGTTTTGAAGGGAGGTTCGATGAGAACTTGAGCAACTGGTTCGAACCGGAGAAGTAGAGCGCAGTGAGCTCAGTGAGGACCATGACTCGGGTTTGGGAGTCAACGAGG